TGAGGGGTGAGCCAAGCATTCAGTCAACAGCAGTGGCTTGATCCTACTGCTTCATCTTGAAGTCTCTCAACTCCATTCTCTTCTCTAGTTTTCTCCATTCACTTTTTATCCCCATTCCAGGTGAAGTGCTGTACCTGAATGTCTCTGTGGGACCCTAGACCCTGTTTTCTTCTATCATAGACCATTCACCCTCCAATATAACCTCCTTTGCTCCCCCAGTTCCCTTCTATGAGCATAAAAAAATGCTCAATAAAATGTTTGATGCTCTAACATTTGCAGACACTTCCCAAGCTCACTTGCTCATTGGGTCTTGCTGAGGCTATAGGATACTGTCTTGCTGCCATCTCTCAGGATGGTCCAAATATTTTTAAAAAGAAAATAATTTCCTAATCAGACAACTTTCTATTCTCTTACCAATTTCATTCTCTACATTATACCTACCAAACTCCTTGCTTCTATTACAAATAGAAATGTCCTTATTTATCCCAGAGGAATTGCTATGTGGGCATAAGAATTTAATTCACAGGCTTTCTTCAAAAAGTCCTCCCAGTGCACACCATTAGAGGAATTAGTGTCCCAATATTCTAAATGTGTTAAAAATTATTCTTTCCTACTTATTTTAATGTATCTCCTGTAGTCTCATATTCAAGTTGTTTTTCCAGGCTAGGTTTTTTTGATTGTCAAGGATACAAAAGATAATCTTCCTATCTCAGTTTCTCCCATACTGGTACAGGGTACAGAGTGGGATGTACTCAGTTAAACTATTTTTAAGTCTGGTTTAATGATTCTCAACTAACTTAGACATAGCCAAAAAATTACAAGGTTTAGGTTGTATTGGATGTTTATCTTCATAATCATGTTGAGGTTAAAGTAGCGACAAATAAAGATATTGATCGAATGAAATAATAATAGGAGACGTGTCTGCCATCAATTATTTCCCATACAATTCATTGTGAAGTTATGAAAAAATCGATTCACAATTCTCAATATAGTGTGAACTTATCTGTGGACTGAGTGTCAGTTAATGATCTCAGTCTATATTTTATCTTATCAAAATTTTGTTAAGGAATTATTTGATACAACAGTATTCTTGTTGTGAACAGTAGTAATATAATCCTTCTCATTTTACCTAATGCCTGTTATTCAAGATTTTGAGAATGTTCTAAAACATTTTCTCATTAATCCTCAAAAGACATCTCTGTGATAGATTTGTAGAAAGATTAATTAAGGATTAAAATCCCTTTACAAAGAAATCACATCTCTGCACTATTCCTCAGGTAGCCTCAATGAAATTTTAAAGTTATAAAATATAAAGGAGCTATAAAATATTTTATTACTACAGGTTCCAGAGGACAAAGACAACATTGCTTTTACTGTAAAAGAATAAATAAATATTGATCTTGGTCATGGGATATGGAGATAAAGATCTCTAAATGATAAACTGTAGGACTACTTTAGAAAATTTTTATTCTAAATGTAATTGAAAGTATACCTTTTACCATGTATCTTTTGAGAATATCTTATTTGTGTTAAAGCTTTATTTTTGAAGCCTGTTTTATTTATGTTCCTTTGAGCTAACTTTAAAAAATTTACCTATTGTTAAATAGATTGTAATTTGTCATGTAGAGCATATTCTTGGTTCAGTGATTCTCTGGGAAGCATAGGTAATGAGCCACAATTATTTTCCAAAAGCTAAAGGAGAGATCAACCTTTAGTTATTCCTTTAGTTATTTATTCATGTGGTAAAAGGAAAAAAATGTCCAAAATATTCTAGATGTTTTAAAAAATAAAGCACGCTTACATGAGCATCTAACTTTGATTCCAAAATGAATTCTAGAGAAGATTTTAGACGAAATGGAAGAAAAGCACAACTATGTGATTGAATAGCCCTGGAATAATATTGATACAAGCCCAAGAGATAACCCTTCCCTCGTCAATGCAAGCATCGTCAGGTGTGAATACCAACTAGTACAATATATAGGAAAAGCAGCATAAAAAAACATGCATTCTGAATATAATTTGTAACAATAAAAGAATAGATGGATGAAAACTGTACACTGATAGGGGGTAGATTCTGATATCGTCAAAGCATCTGTGAAATCAAGATAATTACAACATTCAGAACAGGGGACAATGAGGCACAAACATATTGCTAAAATTCATGGGAAAGAATGTATTCACTGTAAAGAAAAACGGAAAGGAAAGAGAAATTTTATACCAACTGATTTACTCAGCACAGACCAGGTATCAAACTAAGCCCCTTCAATAAGATACACTATTAAAAATTCCCATCATCCCATTAGGTGAGTATTATTAACTTAATTTATATGTTAAAACAAACAAACAAACCAACTTGGTCCAAGTGTTTGTTCGAAGTTCATGTACATAGTAGTTAACAGCTGCCCAGAAATATATCTCCCTTTGGAACTGTGTAGTAGCAAAAAGGACCCCAAGGGTAACTGTGCCCAGTTGACAGAAGTGCCCTTGAAATCTATCATGCTTTCACAGAACAGTGGAAGTTCGGTGGCCAGCAGAGACCACCCTGCACATTCCACAGGACTGAGAGGACACATTTCAGCTCCCCTGCAGGAACTCTCAAATGCACTCAGAAGGAAAGGCATTAGCAGCCTGGCCTAGGGGTCTCCAATGGGAGCAGCTACCACCACTGCTTACAGGAGTCAGTGTCGGAGCTTTAGAGCTGCCAGCCTCCAAATTCGAGTGGATATTTATTTCTGAGATTTGATTTTCTTGTCGTCAAAAGCGACATCCCTACCTCAAAAAAGTTATCCAAGACAATTGTCTGAAAGGTCCAGTACTATATGTGGGTCATGATAGACTTTAAATACTTGACTGATGAAAGAAGAGGACAAAAAAGAAGAGGAAGCCAGCTGCTGAGAGTCATTGTTTACAGGAGCTGCCTTAAATGCAAGCACCTAGGAGATCTAAGGTGAAACCTTGGGGTTACTGGAGCCTCCAAGAGATACCATTGTTCTAAATGCAAAAAAAAAAAAGGATTTAAATTCTGTCAATAGGAGTGGCAGCTAATAGAAAACCATGCCACTGAGAGCAACAGACAGGAATTTAAATTAAACCCACTTTGTAGCAAAACCCAGCTCTCCTTATCATAGGATGAGACTCTTTTGACATTTAGGAAATGTGTGGTGATTATTGATTCCAATGCACCATTGAGGGAGGGAAGAGAATAATAATTTCTACTTGGAAACCTGGTAGAAATAATGGGCCAGAGACTTGCAGTATTTCCTTGAGGCAATTACAAAGGCAATAAACAGTCATAGGGACCTTGAATATCCAGGGAAAACAGGCTACAATTAGAAAGGAATATTGATAAAGTGATGCTGAGGTACAAATAGATCTGGTCCTTCAAAGTTTAATTATTTTGAAGGAAATGAGAAGAATAAATTGACAAAACAAATGATGTTTATGCAAACACATGCACACATAGACACTTTTCTTTCGAATACTGGAATGAACACTGACAGGAAAAAAATACCAAAATCAATACCATAAATGTTCCTAATAAGAAGTACTTTTGAAAATCTTATCTAAAACTTTGACATAACAAGCTTTTAAAATGTAATCACAAATTAGTATAACTGCTTTGGTTTATAAAGGGTAGAAGTCAGGTGACCTGTGGATGATTGGCCACCAAATTCTCATTTGTAGCTCTTTCTCTCACACACATTCAACCTCACCCCTCTTCCTGCTGCACTGTGTCTGGGTCTTATCCTCTCCTATTGTACTTCTTGCACAGTTGTTGACCTACACACCACGCTTCCTCACCTGATCCATGCTGGAACCTCTCCTAAAACATAGCTTTCACTGTGCCATGCCCTGGTCAGTCAAAAACTTTGCTTTTTATGGATTTAAGTCTAAACTCCTTGATTAGGCATTCAAGTCTCTTCCAAATTGTACACAGCATTTCTCATATACAAGACAATATTTTCCAATGATTATTCTGATTATTATCATACTACATGCTTAGCAATAAAAATACCCTTATCATCAACTAAATTAAAAAATGAAAAATAAAAGGATCAGAAAACAGCTAACATTAGTCAGAGATTTTCTTTGTGCCAGAAACTAAGAGCAACACACATTTAATCCTCACAGCTTTCCACAGTTGATTTATAGACAAAGATATTAGTGAAGACTTTACAAAGATAAGGACTATGTTCAAGTTGATACTCCCAGCAAGTGTCAGAGTAGGTATGTCACATGCTGGACCCTGAGCTCTTAAATGCAAGGATGTTCTGTCCCTTTCCTGTGAGGTCACAGAAGACCATAGAATATTAAAATCCTAACAGGCAAAACACGACGTAGTTTCGTTGTACTAGTTAATTTATTGCAGTATGGGACACACATTTCATGAAATGCCTTCTTACATCTCCACAAAATTCCATTTCCAAATAGACCTCTTAGGAAATGTTGAACTACATGACTCCTGAGGCCATTTCTAGCTGAAATTTTATTGAGGACTAGACCTGCCAATTCTTTGCTCAAAATGAACTTGGTTCATTTAAAAGTCTTTAAATTACAAGTCTTTAAAGATGCTTTAGAACTAACCTCATTACTTGTCCTTAGGATGTCCTCCACTGTACCCTTATCTTAATCTTATTGGTGTCATCCATATACTTTGTATTCATCTCCTCTTTGAAGCTATTTCTGGCTGTCCACAAACACAGTGGCTGAGTCTTAGTTTTTCAGTGGAACTGGGCTGAGAGATATCTACAGATATAACTCAAAACAGATGCTGTATAATGGTATGTTAAAAAGTGAGGGAATGTGTATGTCAATTAGCTTGATTTAGCCATTTCACATACAATTTGTATGAAAAATCATGTTATGTACCATAAATGCCTGCAATTTTTATTTGTCATGAAAAATTGCCTTTACTAGTCATGTTGCCCTCCTTTCTTCCTGTAAAATGCATATTTTTAAGTAAACACCAAAAACCACAATTCCAACTTCTGAGTCTGGGGTCTTTTGTTTTATTTTTCCATCACAGTACACACTGCATTTTCCTGGACCACCAGCTATAACCCCACATGCATGTCTATTTCCCGAGCACCTCTGAAAGCCCCTTCATGGCAGAGGTCAGACTTCTTTCAGTTTTCTGATCCATTTATATGGTGAAAAATTTTTGTTCAAAACCCAGTTGGATTCTGACTCTTCCACTTAAAGGCTGTAAATAAGCAACTTCTTAAACACGTTGTTCAGCATCTCTCTGATTCAGTTTCATCACCTGTAAAGTGAATGGAGATAAAATTTTCTAATCCGTAAAGATGAAATGATTTCTTAGAGATAAAAGGCACTTAGCAGAAAGCTTCACAGTTTAAATGCTCTATTAATGGCAGATTTATTTTTGGTGTTACAAATTGTTTTTTTCTTGTGTTTCAGACATTTTAATAGACCATGAAACCAAGTGACTTGGACATAGTCCCTGCCCTCAGGAAGCTTATGTCTTATGAAGTCTAGTTACACAAAAAAGAACATGCCCATCAGGTGGACCTAAGTGGTCAGCTTTATCCAGGGAGAGCAAGGGAGTGATCATGGAGGGCAATGACCCCACCAAGCCCTGCAGGAGGGTCTGGAAGTACAAAGACATTTTGCAGGCAGAGGGAGAAGCATTAGCTGGACACTTGGACCTTCCCCCTGGCACGAGGATCTAGAGGAAATTCATGTTAGTTCATGAGACTGAAACCAAGTCAGTTAGGGGTAATAAGTGAGCTGGGAAATTCGTTGAGCCAGAAACCAAAACCAAAAATGTTAAGTGCCTCAAAAGGCACTTTCAGATGATCCCATTGATAATGGGTAGAAGAAAGTAGGTGATGAAACATTTGAAGAGTGGATAAATATGATCAGATTTAATATTATAAAAACAATTCTGATTGTAGTGTAAAGATCCATAAGATATGTACTTAGACTGAGGAGAAAGTCAAAGACAGTATGAAGAGCTTCTGAACTGGCAAATGACAGTATTTACATATAGAGTTATAGATTGTATTGCATTAAGAAGCAACAGATCCAAATGGCTAAATAAGTTTACTGGTTGTTTTAAAAATATAAATAATGACCCAGTATATTTTAATATACAGTTATGTAAAATATGTCCTACTTAGTGTAAAATAAGCATGCTAATTCTAAATTGGCTAGGATTATATAAAGTAATTATAATGTTGACAAAGGAAAGATGAAAACAGTATAATTTGGCAATTAATGTGATGAGTTAAAGACTTGTTCTTGACCTTGGGCTTAACAATTTTATTTCCAGGTATTTCTCTTTGGAAATTAGTGTCAAATAAAGCAATACGTATTGGGAAAATTAGGGGATATGAATTCTCAACAGAGAGGGAATCAAATGTGATTTATCAGTGTAGCCTAACATTATGGAGACATTTAACATAGTCATTAAAACATGATTATGTATTTTAAATAGAATTGCCAGGTAAAGCACAGTATGCTCAGTTGAATTTCAGATAAACAATGAATAACTTTTTAGTAAGTATGTCCCCATGGAAATTCAAATGGATCTGGGTGTTCTATATTACACTATGAGTTGCTAAATCTGG